CAGGAGCCAGTAACTCTTTGATGCTGCAAACTGTTGCAGATTTACAGTCATTTCTTCCATTTTGTTAAACTTGGATATCGTCTCTCTCTCTTCTTTGCACGTTGCTGTCTTTAAAAAGTCTCCCTCCTCGTACTGCAGATGAATGGCTGGGTCCTCTTGACCACTGTGTTTATCCATCTTAAAGTGTAGCAGATTTTCTTTTCTGGTCACCCTGCAGTTCTGTGATCTTTGTGTTTTAGTATTGGATGGATGCCACACTATTCAGCTATCAGGTTCCAGGCAGACTGCTACAGAGGATCCTTCCTGCCTACAACAACTGCTTAAACAAAACCTCCTGAGCTGCTGCAGCATTTCACTTCCTTTTAAGGATTTCTAAAGTATTTTAGTATATAATTCAATGGAGAGTTTCATTTTGGCCTTTAGGGGGCTCTGAACCTGGCAGTGGCAGTTCTAGTGCCCTTATGGCTAAAAGTTAGTCATGTTTTAAATGTAATCAGTAAACAATGTTAGTAGAGTTAGACCTACGATGAATAAGGCTTTCTATAGATCTATTTCCTCTAGAGCAGTGTTTACCAACCAAGGGTACTCATACCCCTAGTGGCCTGTGAGTGCATTGCAAGGGCTACATGAGAATACGGTATTTGATTTATCAGGTAGTAAAATAAAACAGGGCTCATTTTTGTCTCACTCATGGTAAGACTAAAATGCCCAAAGCGGAACATAAATCAAAGAATGTTGGTGCACCGTGCTCTAGAGTATTCTACACAGACTGAGCCGTACCTGCTTTAACCACTGGAGTGTTTAACTCATCTGTCAGATGGTATCAATGAACAATTAGTCCTGAGAAATGAGCTTAAAGTTTCCTTTTTAACCTCTCATATGAAAAGCTTCTTCCAACCTGATCTCTGTTCGTATATCAGACCAGTAATTCGATTACAAACCGTTAACCCAGAACAGGATTACTTACAAATGCAGCTGATCGTCTTTTACTGAATAGATGCTGGTGAAGATTCTCAGTCATCCAGGTCATAGTCGATCCAAAAAAGTTCAACAATGAACTGGAGTTTGTTTCTAAGTTTGAAGACGTTTCTCTTCCATCCAGGAAGCATTGTCAATTCTAAATGTCAGAAATAGCGTTTAGTTCCAGGTTTTATAGAGTTGACCAACAAAGCCTGGTTTTTGTTTAGAAAACATGGAAATTAAAACAGATGAACGGGTCCGCCCCTTTGGAATGGGGGTTGTTAGGTTTCTTTGTTAGCCTGCAATGCCCCATACCTGTCTATGTCTCTGACAGGGGGGTCGTTAAAGGGAATTGTTGACCTGGCTTAATAGGCGAGGCCTTCTGTTCCCCTGTAAAGGAGTTGAGGCTGCGATGATTGTAGGTTTTTGAAAGCAGAAACCTAAGTCCAATCCCTCTGTTTAAGGTAGATGGCATCCTGAACACTCCTCTCAAACCACCTGTCTCCTTTGTCCAAAATGTGAACATTCTGGTCCTTTAAAGAATGTCCTTTGTCCATAAGGCGTAAAAGTAGCACAGAGTCTTGTCCTGAGGAGGGCGCTCTTCTGCGTTGGGCCATGCGTCTGTGGAGAGGTTGTTTGGTTTCTCCACTATAAAGATCAGAACATTCCTCACTGCACTGAACTGCAGACACCACTCTGCTATATTTGGTCTGGGGGTTTGGTCCTTAGGATGCACTAGTCTATAATTCAGAAGTTCCACTGCAGCATAAAGTATTAGAGCAGCAGTAAAGCAGCAGAAGGTCTATTTCAGTGTCTGTTTGTTTTTTAACAAACACAGGAACACGCCAAGCTTGTGATGGCTGGAATGAGCGATCCAAAAGCTCCTTTCAAGCTGGTTTACGTCACTCCAGAGAAGATTGCCAAGAGCAAGCTGTTGATGTCCCGCCTGGAGAAAGCCTACAAAGCAAAGCTGCTGAGCCGCATCGCTGTGGATGAGGTGCACTGCTGCAGCCAGTGGGGACATGACTTCAGACCAGGTGGGACTTTTCTAGCTTTTTTTTAACTTGGTGAATATTCTATTTATTCCATCATGTTAAATTCATGTTAGAAGGTTGTTAACATTACATGACTCACGCCTGTGTTTACGCTGCAGACTATAAACTCCTGGGTATCCTAAAGAGGCAGTTTCCCTCGGTGCCGCTGTTTGGCCTCACCGCCACGGCAACCAGCAGCGTCCTCAAAGACTGCGAGAAGATCCTGTGTGTGCAGCAGCCAATCACAATCACTGCCTCTTTCAACCGCACTAATCTGTACTATGAGGTAACTCTGATGTTACAGCCTCTGATAGAACAACGCAGTCGGTCGGTTTGTTATAAACGAAGGTTTGCTTCCCTGTGGAGTGAATAACTAAAACTGTTCAATCATCTAACTGCTTTTTCTTAGGAGAATAGTCGACCACTGAGTGTTTGATTCAGTAATGTTAGCATTGTTGTCATGGAGACGTCTAAAAGTTACTAGAGATGTTTGGAGGAATTTTGCTCCATTGTTGTTGCAAATTTGTAAGTTCAAAAATCAAACATTTTAATCAGAAAAAAACTGTTTAACAGTAACTTTGCCGTCTTCTTTGATTCTTAAATATTTATTTTTATTCAGTTTAGTTTTCCAAAAATTTGTTTTTTTAATTTTTTGTTCACAATTTATGTTTAATAATTTTAGAAAATATTAAATCTGTAAAAATAAGAAAAAAAAAAAAAATAGAATTTGAAAATATTAAATATGAACATATGTTTTGAAAAAATAAATGTAAAATAATTAAATAGAAAAAAGAGGTAGAATATTTCAAATCTAAAAAAACCATTATACCGGTTGTTACTTTTCAAAAAAAAATTTCATTAAGGAGTCGTTCAAATGATAATAATTACAAAATGCAGAACTTTGAATGTAGTAAGAGAAACAGGAGCTACTTCCTGTTAGGCAGTCCATGCTGCCACAAATTATTCAAAACTAGTTCTGGACAAAACTGTAACCAGCAGCGTAAACTTGACTGATGGTGTTTTATGCATGTACGGAAACGCAAAGCTACTAGCCTGACGTAGTCCGACTCA